CCCCAGCCCAGCAGTGGTGTAACTCCAGGTCAGTGCCGGGTGACACCGCGGCCTGGCAGTGCTGCCCGTTGCAGAGAAGGAGCCGCCGTCAGCTGGCTGTTGACGAAGGCAGCTCCCTTTCACTGACCACGTGGCGTCTGCAGCATCACACCAAAAATAGACACAAAAGGACAAAGGGGGCTGGCGGGGAGGAGGCGGGCAGGCAGCAAGGAGGTGAAGCTCGGGTCCGCCTTATTACACGGGGCTAAGCCGCTTTATCCAATTCCAGCGGGCAGTAAACAAAATAAGGCCGCTCACCCTTTTTTTTTTTTTTTTTTTAAAAAAAAAAAAAAAAAAAGAAAAAGAAAAAAAAGCCCCGTGCAGCGCTGCGGCAGCCGCCGCCCCCGGAGCGCTCCGTGGATACCAAACAACAGCGCTGCGGTGATGCGGGGTCACGTGGCGCGGGGTCGGGTTTCACAACAAACAGATGTGGAGTGCGGCGGCCGAGGATGGACCGGGGGGGTGCGGGGAGAGAGAGCGCAGCCCCCGCTGGCATCGCTCAAGGGAACGCGCTCCGCTTTGGGACGCAGAGCCCGGAGCTGTGCGTTTAAGGGGAGCGTAGCGATTCACTGATTTCGCGATCTGCAATGCGGGATTTCCAGGACACCACGAAGGGGAAAAGGGGGGGTTGAGGGGGAAGCTAAAAATTGCTCCACACAGAAAAACAGCGCATCCACCCCGGGAACATACGACACTGCGAAGGCTCCTTGTAAACAGATCGCCCTCTAGGAAAAAAAAACGCGCTTTTTCCAAGGCAGGGAAATAGAAACTGCTGCGTCACCGCCCGGAATCGCTCCTTTCCTACGCAACCGAACACCCCGAGCCGCGTCGGGTCCAAAGGTTTCCGTTACCGATGGCCCCGATAGGAGGGAGCGCAGCGGGCGGGAGGGGCACGCACGTACCATCGAAATCGGTGTAGACCGTGTCCTTGAGGAGGGCCCCCGAACCGAAGTCGATGAGCTTCAGCTCGCCCGTGCGCAGATCCACCAGCAGGTTCTCGTCCTTGATGTCGCGGTGCACCACGCCGCAGCCGTAGCAGTGCCGCACGGCCTCCAGCACCTGCCGGAAGAACCCGCGTGCCGTGTCCTCGTCCAGCGCGCCCTTCTCCGTGATGAAGTCGAAGAGATCCTTCACCAGCTCGGGCCGTTCCATGACGATGAGGAAGCCGTCGGGCCGCTCGTACCAGTCCAGCAGCTTGATGACGCCGCGGAAGCCGGAGCCCACCTTCTTCAGCAGGACGATCTCCAGGGGCACCATGACGCCGCCCTGCGCGCGGGGCCGCGGTCAGCGCCGTGCCGCAGTCCGAGGGGCGGGCGCGGCGCTGCGGCGGCGGCGACACCCGGCAGCCCCCAACCCCCCCAGCCCGCGCCCCCCCCCCCCCCACCACCGCCCACCCGCCGCGATCCCCCCGCCCCACCAACGCGCGCACACACACAAACACAAAGGCCCCCGCGGACTTACGATCGTGCCCCACTCGGTCACCCGCTCCTTCACCACATGCTTCACAGCGACCTGCGCGGTGCGGGAAAAGAGAGGCGCTGTCAGCGGGCACGGCCGCAGCCCCGCAGCCCCGCGCCGCCCCGCAGCCCGCACCCCACGCTCACCGGCAGCCCGTCGGCCGTCCTGCTGCCCGCGTACACCGTGCCGAAGCCGCCGCTGCCCAGCACCGAGCCCACCTGGTACACTTTATCGAAGGGCTCTTTCTCCACTTTCACTGGGGGAGAAACACAGCGTTAGTGGCGGCTCCAACAGAAATAACGATTAAAAAGAAAAAATCATGGAGAAAAAAAAAAAAAAAAATCCCAGAAGGGCGCTACGTCCGTGCGGCACAGGGCGTTTGGTTTTTTTTTTTTTTTTTTTTTTTTTTTTTTTCCTCCCCCAAAAGCCGTCTTCTCCGGTTATATAAAAGCGCAGCGCAGGTCCCAGCACTCCGTACCTGGCGGCAGGATCTTGACGGGCAGGTGGTCCATGCTGGCGGGGCTGCAGATGTGCGCCAGCGAGCCGAACTTGGAGAGCAGCATCTTGCGGCGGGGGTCCTCGCGACCCCTCTTCGTATCTCCGGGATCCCGGCGGCTCCGAGCCGTCCTCCTCGCTCCGCCGAGCCGTTCAGAGCCGGGCGGCGCCGGGGCCGCGCGTTCTGCCCGCCCCTGGGCAACGCCGCAGTGGAGCCGTGGCGGGCGCAGGAGCCGCGCCGCCGCCGTGCCTGCCCGCGCGCTTCTGAGCCGGCGGCGCCGCGGAGCCGCCTCTTAACTCCCAATATTTTGGTGCGGGCCGAGCGCGCGAGGATATCCCTCCGCGGGGGAGGGGGAAACACCTCTCACCGCCACCGCCCAGCCGGCCCCCTCCCCTCCGCACCGGGGCGCCCGCGGTGCGGCGGCCGCGGCTGCAGCTCTTCGTCCCGCCCCGCGGAGCGGGCGGGCGGGCGGGAGGAGGGCGGGGGCCGGGGACTACTTGTTTGTAGTAACCGACGCGCAGCGTTACGGCCGTCTGAGGCTCCGCGCGCACTAGCTGCCAAAAAAAAAAAAAAAATCGAGGGGGGGGGGGGGGGGGAGGGAGATTCTCCCTATTTGCGTTAACATTTCCGGACGACCAATCAGGGAGCGCCTTTTCAAAGGGCTCCCGGCGTGGCCAATGAGGAGGGGCCTCATCTGCATGTGGCGGGCGGGGCGGGAATGCCGCGGCGCGCCGGGAGCGGCTCCGCCCTGGGCTGCGGGAAGGGCTCTCGCGGCCTCGGCGCCGCGGTGGGGCCGCGCGGGGGCGGGGTGCCGCCATCATCGCCGCCTGAGCGGGGGCATACGGGGCCACGCAGCCGTCTCCCCCCATCCCCCTCCTGCGGCGTGGTGTGTAGCGGATCCGGGTGGGCGAGACTGGAGCGTTCGTGCTTAGCTTACCCTTCGCGGCGCTTTCTCGCTCCCCGCTTTCAGCCACGCTCCCCGGTGCGGGGCCTCAGAAGGCTTCCCGGCCTCCCCGCCCAGGCGCCGGACGGGCGCTGGTAGGGAGCGGTTCCGGGCGCACCGCCCGGCCGGCAGGGGGCGCTGCCTCAGCAGGAATGGTGGTGGCTGGCCGGCGGCGTCCAGGCGGCTGCGCGGTGTCCTCCGGTGCCTCCGGGCTCCTCCGAAGGCCCTTCGCGGTGTCCCTGGGGGGTTTGGACCCCGTGCCCGAAGCGGTGCCCTTAACGGCTGCTTCCGGCGCGGCCTTCAGCACGGGTGTGGGAAGACTGCGCTGCTCGGGGAACGCTGGCACGGGTCAACGTGCTTCCTAGTTTGGGCCCAGCAGCGGCAGTTGGTGGGAACAACTGGCGTGCCTGTGTTGGAAATAGTGGAGCTGGAGGCACCGTGTTGCACGGGGATCCCTAAAATGAGGGTATTTTTGGACAATCACTTCAGGACCTGGCGGTTTTTCCACTCTGGGCACAGGGAGAGCCTGGCAGTTGGCGTTCCCTGATAACAGTGCTCCATCTCTATAAACAAAGTGAGGGTTTCTAGGGAGAGGTAATGTCTGTTATTAGATCAGACCAGCTGATGGAAAGGTCATGTTTTTTGGCATATTTTCAGCCCTTTGTGTCCCAGGCTGTTTGTTGGAGCTAGATCAGTGGGACCTGTGGGACAGTTTGTACCTTTCACACAAAATGTAGTGATTGTAGAGGAAACCCATTCAATTTATTGGGCAGATTAAGGAATTAGGAAGATTGTGTTGTTTCTTTTAATTATTAATTAAAAAAAAAAAAAAATAGTTAAAGCAAAAAATGCCTTTTTTCTTTTTTTTTCTGGTTAGAAAACCTGCCTTTTGGCTATCTCTAGTCACGTGAAAGAAATTTTTAGGTTTCTTCAGATAATGTTATATGCACATGATGCATATATCACTAGTCTCCAAATGTAAAATATCAGGCCTTTTTCATTCTAATTGCTTTTGCAATTTTGTTCATCTATCTTTGCATTATCAGGCTATTACAGATTAGTGTTTTCTTTGCCTTGCGACGTTCAAGAAAATAATTTGGAGTTTCCTCAGAATCCTCTTGCATTTAAGCTTTTCAGCTATATATAGCGTACCTTTACACATCTGTTTGAATAAAATCGTTAAATAAGATCATAATTGATATCTGGTATTGGTATAACTCCTAATCTGATCTGTGCTTTCACAACGATATAACTGTGTTACGTTAACGTTAGAGAAAACAAGGTAGTTACTGTATAAATAAATAAATAAATAAAAAGATAAGGGGGTATTTGTTCTTTGTTCACGTAATTTTTGGCAGACAGACATTTAATTTGTATACAGTTACAAGGACTCTTGGTTTGACAGAATTACAGATGGATCCCAGACTTGGAATTTACCCTGTCTTTTCACATAAGCCTTTCATGGGTTTGTGGTGCTCCTTTTGATCTGGCTTGGAACATGCAGTTCAGTGGTCCTAAACAATTATGGCTGCAGAAATATTTTGCAAACTTGTTTTGGCCTCTTGAGCAGTGGCTTTGCAACTATAAATGGAAAATTGTTCATGGGTAGGATGCCAGTTAGCTCTTTGATGTGCAAATCATTTTTTTTCTGTGCAAGGGTCCCTGAACTCATGTGAGTTCCTTAAACATAGAAGTATGGAAATTCCACCAGAGTTTCTGCTTGCAGCACAGAGGCAGTACCATCTCAAGCTATCTTCTAATATGTGTGTGGAACCCAGTTCAAAGTTTGCTGTGGCACATCATCTGATATTCCACTGGTGGTGTTAACATGCTCTTATGCATGCCTGTAACTATAGTAGATTCTCAAGATGGGCCTACCAAAATGTGTCTGTTTGCATAATGTAACCACAAGGAATGCTGTAGTAGTAAAAGTCCACTGAAGTTAAGAATATTGACATCTTCAGGTCCCTCAGCCTCTTGAGTATCTGAATACATGAGATACTCAAAGCTTTTAGTCATCTTCGTGACCCTTCACTTGCCTCTTTTTAATCTTTTTTATTTCACGTGAAAGTAAGCTGAACACTGTGCTCCAAATGTGGTTTTAAACGTTCTGAACAGAGTGCAGTAAATGTCCCTCGACCTGCTGGCTATGGTCTTGCTAATGCAGTCCAAGATGTGGTTAGTATTCATTGCTGCAGGGAGACACTGGTGACTTTGTTCAGTTTGTTGTCCACTTGATTCTATCCTGTAGAACCGTTAGTCTCAGCCTGCACTAATATTCATATTTTTACAATTTCAAGACAGATTTATCTGTTCTCTTTCAGTCTGTGGAAGTCTTCCAGAGTAGGAGCTCTTCTCTACAATATTCTCACAGCCTCCCCTTGATTTGATTTTACCCTGTACTTCCTAAAGATCTTATCATTCAAGTCATACCATCCCCAATCTTCATCCCAGGGATTGCCGCTGGGAATCACCTGCTAATTGGACTTCAAACATTTGTTAACTACTCTTTGAGTCAGTGAACTGGTCAGTTTTTAAGTAACCTTGTAGTCCACCTATCAAACCTATATCTACCAGTTTGGCTGCGAGAACACTTTCAAAAGTCTTTCTGAAGACAAGAGGGACAACACTAACTACTCCATCTCTCTTAGATAGCGTGTAATTTAATTGTAGGAGGCAATCAGTGTGATACAACACAGTTTGCTCTTGGTAAATTCAAGATGACCATTCTCAGTCACATTGTCATTGTGTGACTGAGAATGGTTTCTCTGAGTACTTGCTCCATAATTTTCCCGCAGACTATGGTGAGGTTGTTCAGACTGTAGTCACATAGATCATCCTTGCCATTTTCTGCGACAAGGCACTACATTTTTATAATTATTAGGAACCTCCGCTGACCACTGTGGCCTGAAGAATGGATAGAGAGCAGCCTTTCGTGACATTTGCTGGCAGTCTATTTATTTAGCCACTAGCTTGATCTTTGCTACTTGCCATGGAGGTCTGGAAGGCCTGGGAGCAGATCTTGCCAGTAGAAATAACCTTTCAGTGTACAATACTGTGGTGAAGTGTGATACGGATGGATAACTCTATTGGAATCCTTTCAGAAATAAACACCTGCATGCAGGTGTTTGATGAAGACTGTACGGGGATGAATATTGACCTTTTATCAGCAGAGCACTAATTTAAGAATACACGAGAAATATGACCCATTTTTGCAGCGTTATTTAGGACAGTACTGGGGAACAGTCAAAAGAATGTTGAAAAACTAGTAGGACTTTCAAGAAGAACACAAGATCTAGAAACCAGGTGTTAAAATGTGAGGCTTTATTTTTTTTCTGGTTTTTGTTTATTTGGGAAAAGGTTAAGAGATAATCTTGTACCATCACAGCCTGGAAACATCTTTTATTTATTTATTTATATACTGACTGGCTTATTTATTTATTTATCTCTCATATGTGATAGCTGTTCCACACAGGAAGAGCTTCCTAGATTAGGAACTGGAATCAAGTATAGAAGCAAAGTGAAGGGAGATAACAGAAGGTAAACATAATCCTCTATAAATTAAGTCAAGAAGATATGTTCATATGTGAAAAGAATGTATGGATTTGATGCAGAATTTGTGTTGTTTACCATGGAATTCTGTCAAGGAAAGTCTGGCTGGAAAGTCTCTCCAGCATTTACACTTATGACTGAAGGAGCTAGGCTCTCCATAGAACTGAGTTCTCAGGACCTCATCTTTCATGATTACACATGTGGCACATTGTGTTTCGTACAGAGACTGCACAAGCTCAGCAGCTGTTTTCCTCATTTCGCAAAGTAAGTTCTTCCATGGGAGAACTAAGGCAAGATCAAGGAAGAGTAATGAGGATGATTAAGGATATGAAAAAAAATCTGTTTTGAAAGATTAGTTTCTCAGTTTCTCAGTTGTTTTTTTTTTTTAACCTCAGAGAAGGTTAAAAAAGAGTATGCAGTGGAATAATTGTCTAGGTACAGTTGATTAGATGACTGTGTTCTCTGTCATCTAACATAAGCACAGGAACATCAAGGAAAATTAAAAAGTAACATTCAAAATTGATAAAATACAAGCTATAATTACCTCTACTTATAAAACTTGTAATTAGAGTGTGGAATTCACTGCCAAATCACAAAGGCCAAGAATGCAACAAGATTAAAAAGAGTATTGTATTTTTAGGGATAACAAGAATATTCAAGAG